CCCCCCCCCTCCCCCTCCCTCCCTCCCTCCCCCCTCCCTCTCCCCCTTCTCTCTGACCGTCTCCCTACCGAGGTAAGTGGCCCTGGGAGGGTCAGCTTCGTCGGTTGTGTCCTTAATGGTGAGCCATTGGGGGTAGATGTGCTTGAGCAGTGAGGGTGCTGACGGCATCCCCACCGCCAGAAGGTCGTCCATATACCGATACAGACGGCCGGGGAGCGGCAGGGCGGACACCGGGTCGTCTGCAGCGGCTGGTGATGATGGGGGGCTGCTGATCACCTGACGGAGGGCGGAAGGAAGCCGTGTGTGCGAAGCCGGAGGGAGGGAGAGGGAGGCCATCCTCCTTCGGGAAGTGAAGAAGGCCCTCTCGTAGCTGTAGAGGTAGAGGTCAGCCATCTGCGGTCCCGCATTGGTGCCCATTGGAATGCCCGCGTGCTGCCGCATGGTCGCGCCACCGCCCAGAAGGTCGATAACCGTGTCGCCGACCACCGTCTCTATCAGCTCGTCCACATCACCTCGCGTCATTCGGATGGCCGAAGCACATAATGCCTTTGTCGCTGCTGGCGCTTCTGGCGCTTCTGGGACTTCTGTGGCGCTGTCTTGCGATACCCAGCGTGTCTGCCGCTCGTCACCTGATAGACACATGAGGGCGGACAGATGGGGTGAATGGATGTGGGAGGGAGGCCTTGGGTGTGGTTGTGTGTGTGCACCGTACGGTGGATTTCCAGCAGGTGGTTGGGTCGCCAGACCATCTCGAGCAACGACGAGAGGCGCCGCTTCTGCACACAACCACACACCACACACACACACACATACATACATACTTGAGAGGGAGAGCAATCCAATGCGCGTCTGCGGGTGTGGTATGTGTCGTTTGAAGCACCAGGTCGTCGTGTGGTATCGATGTGAAGAGGGCTTCAATGTCGAATGTGGACACCGACCGCTGCATCGTCCCACCTTGCGGCAACACCTACACACACACACACACACACGTGTTGGATGCGTAGGGAGATCATTGCGCGGCGAACGGACCTACCTGGTTGAGTCGATGCAGGTCGGCCGCCACCTCGTCCACCGACCTGACGACCGTCAGAGGGATGGCCGGGCCATGTTGGATAGCGTCATGCAGCATCAGATCCCGCTTCACGTGCTTCAACACGTCACTCAGCAGAGAGCTGGCCTGGCTACCACACCCACACACACACACATTCATCCATATGAACTCTCTCCTTTCTCTGTCTGTCTGTGTGTCTAGTGCGCACGCACCGGTGTGGTCCTTGTGGAGCGGTTGTTGGTGATGAGTCTGACGCCGTGTGGCTGTTTGTGCATTTTGGGGATCCAATACACCGTCGCCGGCCTCTCCATCGCAGGCTCAGACAGCACATTAGACGGGAAGTGCCTCGCTGTCACTCGGTGTGTCTTCTCCTGACAAACAACCACCCACACAACACACTCGTGAATGATCCGCCCGAGAAGGGCAATTTACCCCTCCCACCGCACCCGTAGCTCGTTTGCCTCCTCTTCATCCAGGTGTGTGAACGGCCCCCCCAGGCACTCGCGCAGCAGCACCGACCGATAGAGGGACTGGCAGACGACCACGAAGTTGGCGGCCGCCTTGTCCGCCGGCGCGAAGGTGAGGAACTGCGATGCTTGAAGGAGGGATGAGTACTCCTCCTCTGCAAAGAGCCACTGGAGCACCTGCTGCCGCGAGATAGGGCGCGGCAGATCCAGCTCCTGCCAAGAGGTGTCTGCACGACAGACACACATCCACATAAAATGCCGAATATATGGCTTGAGGGGTCCAGCCTTGCCTTTCTAGTTTACCAGGCCCCTCAGGCTGATGGAAAGGCTTCCCTGGGCGAAATGGCGTGCCCTTTGATAGCGCCTCACGCACCTGCTCCATCGCGAACACGGACATGTCTGCCGTCCACACGTGACGCTCATGATGCGGCTGTGGCTGTGCTCCTGCCGAGGGTGGTTCGCTGATGCAGCGGTGTGTGTGGGGGTCGACGGGCACCGTGAACTGACGAAGGAGAGAGTCGGGAGGGACGTCACCTACACACACACACACAACACACACACACACACGTGTGTCATTGATCCGTTGCCTTCCCGCTAGGCCGTTCCTTGAACCTCACCGTGGCCATGCTCTCTCGCCAGCCACCTTACACACGCACACTGACCGTCCGCATGACCTTGACCTCCTTCACGGCCCAGCCATTTCTCCTCGTTCGCCGCCCTCCTCTCCGCAAACACCTCAGCCGACTGTGCGGCCACCCGCCGGAAGTTGGCGACGAGCATGCCGAGCGACCAGGGCACCTCTGGGAGCGTCTTGCTGATGGTTGGGGCGGCAATGGTGGGGCTGGGTGTGTCCTCTGTGTGCAGGAACCGTGCCGCGCGGCTGGTGTTGGGTGTTCGGGCGCGCTGCGTGTTCTGGGCCGACCGCAGGCTGAGAAGCGCCTTGCGGAACCTGTCAGGTTCAAATGCACGAGAACAGCAGGCCGGGCCGTGTGCTCTGTCTGTTTGACTGACTGACTACATCATATCATACGCACAGGGCATACCTGAGCTCCTTCTGGATGACCTGCAGATGAGCCCGCTCAAGCCTCGCCTCCTCAGCCTTGGCCGTGAAGCAACAGATCCATCCATCCATCCATCAATTGCAGTGAAGTCAACAGATCTTTGCACACCATCGTCTCACCATCTTGTAGGCCTCTCCAGTGAAGAAGAGAGGCTGCACGATACTCATACCGCTGTGACCTCTCCGGCTGCTGTGCGGATGCGATAACAGCCGCGAGGTCGGCGAGATCGCAAACGAATTCGATACCACGCGGCTCACAACGGCACGACGCTTGTAAAGGCCAGCTCTCCTGGCAAGCATGCAGGCGAGAGCGATCTCACCAGAGCTGAGCTCGCAGATGCCTAGGGTGCTACCTGAAACCGCTCCTGCTGGGAAACATCGCTGCCGGGAAACAGCAAAATAGGCGCTCAGCCTCCATCGGGGCTCTAGAAGGCCTGCCGGCTGCGGCATCTTGCATGAAATGGCAGCACTGTAGCGCCGTACACACGCCCCTCCCTCCCTCCCCCTCCCCCTGTTTGCTGCCGCCGGTTTTCCCCGCCCCGGCGGCTCTCCTGCTGCTGATATGGCGTCAATTTTCGTCCTCCTCGTGGTGTGCGCCCTCAGTGCCCTTCTGCCCCTCCCGCCGCTGTGTGTCAACGCTCAGGCCCCAGGGCTCGACGCCAGATGGAAAGGGAAGTACGAGGTGGTTGACGAGCACGGCAGGTGCGGCTCGCCGAGCGGGACGGAGGCTGAGTTCACTGGGAGGGGCTTCGCCATCAACACCTGTCTGAGCGCCTGTGAAGCCAACCCTGATTGCGGCGGCATCTAGTAGGCAGCAGGGGGGGGAGAGAGGGAGGTGGTATGAGGACCGAAAACGTGGTGGTTTGTTCTGTCGTGTCGGCTTCAGTTTTCCTGACGTTGAAGCCGATGGCGGTGGGTCAATAACGAGACAAAGCCTCCGCGAATTGCACTGTCTGTCTGTCTGTCTGCCGTGTGTGCTGCCCTCTTTCGTTCGATCGGTGCAGGTCCCCTCATTCAGAGCGAGTGCGGTTTGTACATGGACGAGCAGCCGGTGGTCATCGGCGACGTCATCTGCAAAAGCTACGACAAAAAGACAGGCCACTTCACCTGGGTCAGCTTCGGCGACTGCCGAAAGGACAAGGGCGTGCCGCCGTTGTGTAAGCCTGCCTGCCTGTCTGCCCTTCCCTTCCCCCACACACAACAATGACGGCTTTCTCTTTGTTTGACCTTGTGTGTTGCAGCGTCTGTGGAGCTTGACCTTGCTTCGCTCAAGATCAATACTGAGCCGACGTGTCAGCATACGTGTCGGGGGAACCCCGAGTGTGTGGGGATAGAGTACGACCCGCACAACCCCGTTTCGCAGTGTGAGGTCATCACCGACGGGCCCATCACACGTGCCTTCCTCGCGAGATGCTACAAGAAGGTCGACTTTCCTCCTTCATGACCCATTCATTGGTGTGGTGTGGTGGGGTGTGTTGGGGTGGGGGATGTGGGCATTTGTTTGCCACGAATGCGGCCAGGCTTTTGGTGAATCAAGACGTGATCCACGTGATCCATTAACAAACACAGCACTGACTGCACTGTGATTCATGTTGGTTGGAGAAAGAGAGAGTGGATGGATGGATGGATGGGTGGGCGGATGGATGGATGGTGTGCTCCCAAATGTCTATCTATTTCATGCCCGTCTGTCTACAGGCTCTGGTGTGCGTGTCATGAAGGGACGGACGAGTGAAGGCGAGTAGGTTGGCATGGCTTGGCTGGCGTGATTGTGAAAAAAAGGTGTGAACATTCGTGTGGCAGGTTAGGTGTGACACAAGAGAGAGGCTGTTTTTTCTGCGACAGGTTGGTAGATAGATGCCGTCTCAAGCAGGGCGCGCTTGCGTTGCGTACACACGTGCGTAGGCGTATCTGCTGCGTCTTGTTTCACACCGGTTCCTCCATCTGGCTGCTTGTGCGTGTCCCCCCCCCCCCCCCC